CACAGACCAGGGTGGTTGTGGTTTGAGTGGACAGAAGGGGGTGTATTCTAGAGATTCTGGGTAGGTGGAATCATTAAGACTTGGCAACTAATTGGATGTGGGGGTGGATGAGAGTTAACAACTGAGATGGATTCTGAAATCACAACCCCACGCCATCCCCCCCCACCCCCGAGGTAGGCCGCCCCTTTTTGGATGGCTGGAATTGTTAGAAAGCCAGTGGACTTCTGTGTGGTACAACCGAAACAGTGGGACCTCCTTGCCCTTTGAGGTAACAGCAGCCAAGGAACAGAAGGAAGACCCTTTGTTGGCTCTTAGAGGCATTCCTAGGCCCAGAGAGGAGCCAGGGCTCCAATGAGAGGCCTTATGGCCGGGGACAGGGTAGAGACAGCCTAGCCCAGGAGTGGGAAACCTATGGCTTCCAGGCCACATGTGGCCTTCTAGGTCCCTGGGTGTGGCCTTTTGACTGAGTCCACGTTTTATAGAACAAATCCTTTTATTAAGGGGATTTGCTCTGTGAAGTTTGGATTTCAGTCAAAGGGCTGCACTTGAGGTCCTAAAGGGCCACGTATGGCCTCGAAGCCACAGGTTTCCTACCCCTGGCCTAGACCTATCAGCTGGTTTCAGGAGGAGATAACCAACTTGGAGGATTCAGAGGCATAACCTAGTCTGGTCCAACCCCTTCAGTGGTCAGTTGGTCTGTGAGCATTTCTTGAGCACCTACTGTGTGCCAGGCTCCCAGTTAGTCTGTGAGCATTTCTTGAGCACCTACTGTGTGTCAGGCTCTGGCTCTGCTCCACTGAGGAGAAGAGTCTTGTCTGAATCATAACTTGGGTGAGTAGCAGGACTGGGTTTCACCCTGCTTCCCTTTCCAGATGGCCATAGCAAGGGCCCAGAAGCTAATCTCTCTAGGAAAGCTGAAAATGAGATTAACCTTGTTCCCTCTTTGGAGCAATATTTGTCCCTAGCTTGTTTTCCGCCAAAGCCTGAGGGTCGTGGGGGAGGAAGGGAGGGGATGGTGGCTAAGGCCCAGATTCCACATCTTTTCTTTTTCATGTCCTGGGCCTAGAATTTGTGAAGAAAACACTTGGCAAGCTATGGAGACAAGGGCTGCTATTTCTTCTGCTTCTCCTGGGGAATCTCCATGTGTCTCTCTTTCCCCAAATACCAAGGCAGCTGGACACTTGGCTGAGAAATGGCTCCCCAAGCCCCACTGGAGCGAATGCCCCCTCATCCTCCCAAGTTTTCCCTGGTCCTTCCTTAAGTGATGAATTCCCAAGAGTACCTGACTGGCCTCAAACCACAGCGCCAATGGCCGTTCCATTTCTGCCCCTTTTGGGGCCTAGTTCCTGGAAAGAATTCCCTCCTCCCCCATGCCGTGGTTTCCAGCAGTCTGAACTGCCTTTGCCCCATCTGCCCTTAGTCAGGCCTGTGAGGCCCAACAGCCTTCTTGGCACACTGACTAGCACATTGGAGTAGTCCAAAAGGCCCAAATTCAAACGCCACCTCGGACACTTACTACTGTGTGGCCCCAGGCACAGCAATGAACTCAGTTTCTTCACCTGTAAAATGTGTATAATATTAGCAAGGTTATTGGGAGGATCAGAATGAGTTGACAAGTTCTACGGAAGTGTGACCTGTTATTATTAGGCTTTCTTTCAAAGAAACCTGGCCTTTCTCCAACATGGCAGCCCAGCCAGAGGCAGCATGGAAGAGTGAATAGGACGCTGCCCTTGGGGTCAAGGCCTGGCTTGAAATCCTGAGATGTTCAGAGCCTCATCACCCCATTCAAGTGCCTTAGTTCCCTCTCCTCTGAAATGCAGGGGTTACACTTAGATGGCCTCTGTACTTTCTGGCTCAAGAGCTAGGATCCTGTATGTGACTTTGGAAAGAAAGAAAGGAAGGAAGGAAGGAAACAAGCGTTTATTAAGCACCTACTGTGTGCCAGGCACTGCGCTTGACAGATCTCTTATTTGGTCCTCACCATAGCCCTGGGAGGTAGGTGCTATTGTCCAGATTTTATACTTGGGCAAGCTCTTTGACTTTTTTCTGCCTCGGTTTCCCCCCTTTGTAAAATGCAAGGGTCAGACTAGCTGGCCTTAGAGATTCCTTGCAGCTTGAGATCCTAGATCCTCTGATTTCACCCAAGGGACTCTGTTCTTCTGCCCCCCCCCCAATAAAAATTAGTCCTTAGTTTGCAGGCACTAGCTTTCCTCCCAAGCCCTTGGGAACCCATTAGGGCTAATGATTGGATTTATTCTGCTCCTTTTTGGGAGGCCCCCCTCCCACTAGCTGGGGTGAGTTATTTATTTTTTGGTCACTCTTCTCTTAATATATGCGCGCACGAGCATACACACACACACACCCCTCCGGTCCCCAGCGGGGGGGGGGGGGGGGCAGGGATCAGTCACCAGTGTAAACATTCCCTGGAAGCTCTTGGCTTCTAGACCGAAGGACCGACCAGGCTGCAGTTTGACCCCATCCCTCCCAACTCCTGGGTCCCAGGTCAGTAAGAAGGGTGGGGGACAGGCCTAGTTCCATTTTGTCCCCTCTGCCTCCCCAGGGTTCTTGTCCTTCTGTACCTGGTCTAATGATTAAAAGAAGGCTTTGACGCTCCTTCCTGTTGCTGAAGGTGTCTGGGAGTAGGAATTACCATTCTATTGGTTTGTTTTGCTGAACTGTTCCTTGGTGTTTGGTAGCAGTCTGTGTCCAGGGGGTGGGTTTTTTGGGGGGGGGAGGAAGGGGTGACAGGGACCTAAAGCAGAAAAAGAAGGTTTAGAGACTTAAGTTCAGCCTGGGGCCCACAGACCGCCCTCCTACGCCCCCAGATTTCAGAGGGCCTGTATGCAAAAAAAAATTACATCTTTATTTGATGGAGTCAGTTTTCTTTGCAATCCTATGTATTTTCATTTATGCCTCTAAGAAGGTTCTGAAAAGAGGTTGAGATACTTTACCGCCTGCCAAGGGGGAGTGGGCAAAGTACCATAAAGGTTAAGAGCTCCTGGTTTGGAGGGGAGACTGGACAAGTCTGTGGCACTGCCATTAGGAGCAAGCCTACCCATAATCCCCATGGGGCTCTAGGTGGAGTGAGGCAGCTAGGAGGTACCACAGTACACGGAGCACAGAGTCTAGTCAGGAAGACCTGAGTTCACATCCTGGCTGTGTGACCCTGGTCAAGTCACTTCACCCCTGCCTGCCTCAGTTTACCCTCATCTGTAAAATGGGGACCATAATAGCACTTACCTCCCAAGATTGTCGTGAGGATCCAAGGAGATCGTATTGGTAAAGTGCTGAGCACGAGGGCCTGGCACATAAATGTGTACTTATCCCCTTCCCTTCCCTCCCCCTCTAGGGAGCACACAGAAGAGATTAGATTTGCTCTGCTGGGTCGCACAGGGCCAAACTAAGAGGGAATAGCGGGGAGAAGACTGGATCTGGAGCTAGAAGTTGTGGGCCTCAATTCCAACTCTGTCCACTCATGATCTGTGTGGCAAATGATTTGACCTTTGTGGGCCTCAGGTTTCGGGGGTTAAACCCTTCAACCTGGGTCCCTTGACTGGAGTTGAGTGGTTTTCCCAGGGCCCCTCCTAGTGCACATGAGGAAACTGAGGCCCAGAAAGGTTGAGTGACTTCCTCGGGGTCACACAGCCACTGAGTGTCCCCATAATGCCCAGGCTAGAACCCTCTCCACTAGGCCCCATGCCACACTTGTAGTGCAAACCCAGAGCTGCCACCCCACCCCCACTCTGGCCAGAGCAGACTGTTGGATTCCCAGGGTCGTTAGCATCCTCCCAGCAGCCTTCTTCCCTGCTCCCCCATATTCTTTGTGCTTGTGTCCCTTCATTATGATGCTTATGAGCTCCCCTGGGGCCACCACTGGGGAAGCCAGAGCTGGCTAAGTAGCCCAGAGCAGGCCCCATTACCATGGTGATGCCCAGGGCCAGAGAACAGAGCCTGTTTGTCTCCTTTCCCGCCCGTGCCTGCTGGGGCCGCTCCATTGGCTCTGACCCCCCTCCCCAGCCCATGGGAAGGTCCAAGCTCTGAGCAGCCACTAGACCAGAGTGGGAGCTGGCCATGGGGAGGGAGCCGTGCAGGGAGAGGGCTCCCTCATGAGCTCATCTTTCTGGAGCATTTTCAGAGATTTATGGAGCACTGCAGCCTTGTGAGTAAAAGCAAAGTGAATCTCCGTTTTACACAGGGGACGTTAAAACCTGTTTGTTGTCAGGTAATAAGTGGCCAGAGCCAAGATCCTGGCCAGCAGAGCTCTGCCCTGTTTGGCCTGTTCATGGCCTTTCAGGACCTGAGTTCAAATCCTGCCTCTGGCACTATCTGATCTTAAGCATGTCATTTCCCTTCCCTGGGCCTCAGTTTCCCCCTCTTTAAAATAACAGGGTAGAATTAGCTGGCCTGTGGGGTTTCTTCCACCTCTAGATCCGGGATCTTCTGTGTGTGAAGGGCGAGTCACTTCCCCTACCTGGGCCTCATGAGGGGGTCAGATCTCTGCTTCTATGGTCTGGTTGCTGATGGGGCAAGAACCGTTCGAGGCATCCCTGGCTAGCTGTAGGTCTGGACTTCAGCTCTGTAACTCTCTTGGGCCTCAGTTTCCCCATCTGCAAGCATATACATTATGATCTATGCTCTCAGCCACAAGGCCAGAGAATCTTCGTTTCTCCAGTTTTCCCTTTGTGGCATTCCTTAGCATGGCCTTGTGTGAGGGAGGGAAGGCGGAGGAAACTCTTGTCCAGAGAGTTCATGACTTGCCCAAGGCCACATAGTATAATAAATGCAGAACTGGGATTTGAACCTGGTCCTCCTGACTGTCCAAGTCCAGTGCTCCACTGTGTACTGCTCATCTCCTTCTAATGCCAGTGCTATGGAATCCCCGAAGATCCGGGGGCAACAGGCTTAATGCCCCCCTTCCCCCAACATTGCCCATCCTGGGAATGAGAAAGAAGGGACGAGAGACTTGACTGGGGTTAACAGTATTTCCCTGCTTCCCCCAGGTCGTGAAGACCATTGGCCTGAGAGAAGTCTGGTTCTTTGGCCTCCAGTACCAAGATACCAAGGGTTTCTCCACATGGCTGAAACTCAATAAAAAGGTAGGTGCTTGGACTGAAGGTGGATTCGTGTCCCCCCTGGGACTGAGAGTGATTGTGAGCTTGCAGATTTGACGCTTTCTAAGGTCCCTTCCAGCTGTCACCTTCCTTGTTCTGTGGGCCCTCCCAGCTGGGACGTTCTGTACTTGTCATGGCTTCCCGGCATGGCTGAAGAGAGGCTCCAGGAGACACATTTCTTGCCTTCTCATTCCCCTCTGAGCATGAAGAGGGAGGCCCTGAATGTACCCATCAAAGGGCCCAGCCCTCCTTTCCCTGGGTAAACATTCACAGCTGGGGCCTAGCAGTCACTGCCAACTAGTTTGGAGAACCGCTGGGCCTAGCGTGTGGTCGAGTGAATGAGGACTCTTCCCTCTGAAGCTGAGCCCTTCAGAGCGCCTCCAGAGCTGGGGAGCAGGGCGATCAGAGGGCGTCAGGCCCTGAACCCTGGCCTGCTCTCGACTGAGGTGGCCTCATGGATAAGGGACCCCGGAAAATCCTGGCCTGCTCTTAAGTGCGGTGGATAAGGGACCCAGGAAGCACTTTCTGATTGGAAGGGTCTGGATCACAGGACTGCATGCCCCCAGGAGGGGGCATTGCCTCATTCCTGTCTGGTACCATCTTTCCATCTTTTTGGAATGGCTGTGTGGCCTTTGATCACCTTCTTTTGTTTCATTCCTTTTGTTTTAGTTTCACATCATTCTTTCCTCAACATCCACTCCCTTGTGCATTTAAGCAAAATTGTCTGATGAGGCAGCCGTGTCTGGCAGCGTATGCACCATTCTGTACCTGTGGTCCCCTCCCTCTATGCCAAGAGCCATGTGCATTTTACCCTGACTTCTGTAGAAGCAGTCTTGTGTAATTGATCAGAATTCAGCTGTCACTTATCTGTCATGTAGGTGCATGGGGCTTATCTTAGTTACTCTGTCTTTGCTACCCATCGCTTCACACGCATCTGCTCAAGCCTCTCTCAGTATCCTTGAGAGAACTGGCTGCCTGGAGGCAGCGGGCACAGAAGAGGTGACTCCGGAGAGGGACTTTTTTCCTAAGCTTGTTTTCCCGATCTCAGGTGACGGCCCAGGACGTGCGGAAGGAGAGCCCCCTGCTCTTCAAATTCCGGGCTAAGTTTTACCCTGAGGACGTGTCGGAGGAGCTGATTCAGGACATCACCCAGCGCCTCTTCTTCCTGCAAGTGAAGGAGGGCATCCTCAATGATGACATCTACTGCCCCCCGGAGACCGCCGTCTTGCTGGCCTCCTACGCGGTCCAGTCCAAGTATGGTGACTTTAACAAGGAGGTGCACAAGGCTGGCTACTTAGCTGGGGACAAGCTGCTGCCCCAGAGGTATGACCGGAAGGGCCAGGAGATCCTCTTCCTCTCTTACTTGCTTAAGCTTCACTTTTCCCCTCTGTAAAATGGAGAGAAAATATACCTCAAATCTCCCCAAATGGTCGCGGGGAAAATGCTTCAGAAATCCTTCCCTGCTATAGACATGCTTCGAGCTGGGCCTTAACCTTTTAACTCTTGGCTTTCTTTGTAGAGTCTTGGAGCAGCACAAGCTGAACAAAGACCAGTGGGAGGAGAGGATCCAGGTGTGGCATGAGGAGCACCGAGGCATGCTGAGGTAAGGCAGCCGGCCCTGCCCTCTGGCCACCCTCATGCCTGGCCCAGGTGGCTTGGCCCAGTCGTGTTTGTTTTAACACCCCATGCATGAAATTCCCTGGGTTGGGCATTGGCAGAGGGCCCTGTCTTTGGGGAGCTCACAGTCTAGTAAGGGCAAAGAATACAAGCAGATCGCTCAATCATTCAAACATTTATTAAGCATTTACTGTGCGCCAGGAGCTAAAAGGCAGAAGAGTCCCTGCCCTTGAGGAGCTTCCAGTCTAATAATAGCAACTATCCAGAATAAGGCAAGATCCTAAGTCCCTCAGGGAGATTCAGGGAAAAGTGCACCAGGAAGTCTGGAGGGTGTGTGTGTGTGGGGGGGGTGGAATGTTGGACAACAGAGAGGATCAGGGAGAGATTTTGAGGGCTGGTACTAGACATTCAGTAGGTAAGGAGGGAAAAGGGAGAGAGCAGCGGGAGATCTGGAGCTGAAAGACGCCAGCTGGAATCCCAGCTGTTACTTCCCCATATGCCCTTTGGCAAGTGCCTTAGCTTCCTTGGGCCTCAGTCTTCCCCTCTGTAAAGGGGAGGGTTGGAAGCCTGGACTCAACTTCCCTAGTGCCTTTCTACTCTACTTCTGCTTCTGTGAAGACATTTCCGGTGTAGGGAACAGTGTGGGCAGTAGAGCTCAGTGGGCGTTTAGAAGAGAGTGGAGGTCACGTAGGTTTGACAGAAGTAGAGATTGTATGCAATGGAAGTGATGTGAGTGAGAAGGAGAGGGTGGGACCAGGTATTGGAAGGCCCTGAATGCTAGACAAGAGTTTGATTTTTGCCCTGTGAGACACCCTGAGCCTACCAGGCACTGACAAGTGCAGGTTTATGGTGAAGGAGGCTCCTTCTTCTTCTTTTTTTTTTTTTTTGGTGAGGCAATCAGTGTTAAGTGACTTGCCCAGGGTCACATAGCTTTCGTGAGTGTTAAGTGTCTGAGGCTGGATTTGAACTCAGGTCCTCCTGACTCCAAGGCCAGAGCTCTATTCACTGCGCCACCTAGCTGCCCCTGTGGCGGCTCCTTCTGACATGTAGTGTGAAGGATGGATGAGGGAGAAGAGGAAGCAAGGGTGTTTAGGGGATTCCAGTAGTCCCAGCATGTGTGTGCATCCTTCCTTGGCTTTCAGGGAAGACGCTGTCCTGGAATATCTGAAGATAGCTCAGGACCTGGAGATGTATGGGGTGAATTACTTCAACATCAAGAACAAGAAGGGTTCCGAGCTGTGGCTGGGTGTGGATGCCCTGGGACTCAATATCTACGAGCAGAACGACAGGTAAGGAAGGCCCAGGCCTGTCCCCATTCCTCCTGCCCACTCTGATTGCTCACCAGGGCCCTCTAGGCCAGAATACTGAGGGAGGGATGTCATTGCATCCATCCCCCTGCCTCTAGGTGGGCGTATACCTTGGGCCAACATCCAGTTGATGTCCAGGCCAGGAGACAATATAACTGTCTTCATGTCTTTCTCATGTCACCTGGAAGCGTTATTGACCAGATTTATTCCACAACAACCCTGTGGAGACCGTAGATCTCTTTTTGGGCTCTTCTCTTCTCTCCTTCCCCTCTGCCCTTCCCACCCCACCCATACAAAACACAAGGACTCTTGGGGGGATTTTGCTCCAGCCTGACCAAGAAGAGAGCATGCTGGGCTCGGTTGGGACCAGAAGATCTGAGTTTCAGCCCTGGCGTCACTTGCCAGCCATGGGAGCCCGGGCCGACCTCTGCCCGGCTGCAGTTCCCACCTCCTGAGGCTGTTGGGTGGAGAGCGCTTGCTAAGGCAGTGCAGGTGCTGGGGCTCCTTTAGGCCCTGATCTTCTCTATGCCTCCTTCTCCAGGCTGACTCCCAAGATTGGCTTCCCCTGGAGCGAAATCAGAAACATTTCCTTCAACGATAAGAAATTTGTCATCAAGCCAATTGACAAGAAAGCTCCGGTAAGTGACCTTTGCCCCCCTGGTCAGATCCAGGCCTGCTTGGCCCCAGGATGACAAGGCAGTGACAAAAACCAATGACATGACTGGATTTTTAAAAATGTTCTTTTAGGGAGTAAAGAACAGAGAGGGAATTTGGGACAGGAAAGAGGGTAAATGAAAAAGTTTCTAGGACTGGGAGGAAGGCAGGCAAGATGATGGAGTAGAAAGAATATTTGATGTGGAGTCAGAAGCCCCAAGTTTGACAATGGGTAAGCCACTTAGATTTTATGAACCTCAGTTTCCCCCTCTTAAAATGAGGGGGGTTGTACTTGAGTTCTCTTCCAGCTCCATGTGGGACTTTGGGCAAGTCCCTTCCCCTCCCAAGGTGCCTCAGTTTCCTTCTCTGTAAAATGTGAAGGCATTGGGCCAGCTGCCCTCTGGGTTCCATCCCTCCTCCTCACAGCATTGTTGTGCTATGTCCTGTGATTCTAAGCCTGGCGATCTTGCTGCCAGGTTGGACATCTGTAGCTGTGAGCACAGGGCGGCCCAAGCCACCCAGATCTAAAAGAGTGAGGCAGAAAGGAGTTGGCTGTTATAGCCCCTGCCTTGAACACGGGTGTGGCCACAGGGCCAGCAGGCAGAAGACTTCAGTGCTGTCTCCCATCCTAGATGGGGGGACTGGGGGAGGGACCTAGAGCGATCAGATCCCTTCCATCACTGGGACAGGATCTTAGACTTGCCCACTTGGACAGAGGCCATCAGGTCCCACCCATGCCAAGGAATCCCCTTTGCCACCCACTCATTGAGGAGTCATCTGGCCTGGCCTTACCCTCCCTCCCCGCCGTGAGAGGGCCCTGAGAACCTGGACTGTGGCCTGTTGTTTGGGCTCGGGCCTGCCCTGACATCAGTTTTTTCTCTTTGGCCCAGCCTGAGGTGTCTCCATTGGTATAAGCGGCTCCCTCTCCCAGTGCAGATGTGCAGGGCAGATGGGCCACCATCCCGCCTGCTGCCCAGGACCGTGTGGCAGTGCCTATCCCAGCTGGGACTTGTCCCCAGCTCCCACTGATTCCATGCCTGGGCTCTCTCTCGCTGTGCCAGGCACCTTCTCTTTACCCACCGGGCAGTATTTCATGATTTTCAAATGGATTTTTCAATTTGAAGCTTTACTTCATGCTTTTTCTGGTTTTATACCATTTATAAGTCACTTCCCAATCCATCTCCCACAGCTCTGTAAACCATCCTCTTGGAACAAAGAAAGGAAACATCGACCAATAGGTTAACCATATTGGGCAGAGTATGCAACACTCCCCTAGCACCCTGCCTTCCCCCCTTCCCCCACTTCTTTGTTAAACGTGGGGAAGCACAGCCACTCCCACATCCTCCATGACCAAGAATGGGCAGCGTGACCATTCTGGGCTTAGCCGCCTTTAGGCTTTGTCTGTATCCGAATTCTTTGTATTTGTCACTTTGTTACGGTGGAATTCTATTTTCATTTCATTCAAATGCCACATTTGGTTCAACTGATAGGCGTTCGTTGGTTTTCCACTTCTGTGCTATGGTAAAAAAAAAATGATAATAATGATTTTGGTCTGGGGGGTTCACAAGTCATGCTGCTGACTCACTGTGCTTGCGGCCCATTAAAACCCCCAGATCTTCTTCCTCACCAACTGCTGTCTAACCACATTTCCTCTGTGCTTGATCGGTTTTATAACCCAAGCCCAGGACTAGCTTGGCTTCTCCCGAGCTCATCAGCATAGATTTTGGATCCAGAGTTTTCATCCAGTTCATTAGCTATCCCTCCTCGTCTTGGGTCACCTGACCCAATGTGACCCACATTAACCATTTTTGAAGAAATGAAACATAGGTATATTGATATTTTCTTGCAAACAAATTCGAGAGCGTCACCTGTAATGATAAGACCCTAGCTGGTAGCATGCCGGCTACCCTGGTGTAACTGCCTTCGGAAAAGCTAGGGCTCAAAGACAGAGGCCTCTGTGATGCCAAGGCTGATAAGAACTCAAGGCCCTCCCCTGCTTTGCAGATAACGATGCAGTTATAATCTTTGGCTCACAAACTGGGCATAGTGGCTAGAGAGCCAGCCTCAGAGCCAGGAAGTCCTGCCTCTGACAGGTAATTAACTGGCTGTAAGACCCTGGGAGAGTCACCTAACCTCCTGGTGCTTCAGATAACAGAGCAGGTGCTCGCCTGTGTTGGTGGATGGAGTTTTCAGTGACAGCAGAGGTCCAGTCCCTTATCCTAACTGGATCCTTTTCTGACAACAACCCAGTGAGGTCCATAGATAGTAAAGGAAGCCACATAGGGAAACTGAGCCTGAGGGAAGCTGAGTGACTCATACCTAGGGGCAGTGTGACTCACAAATGTCAGAGTCTGGACTCAAGGCTAGGTCTTTACAATCCAGATTCAGGGTTCTTTTGCCACACCATGTTGTCTTTTTTTTTTCTTTTTGGAGAGGTAATCAGGGTTAAGTGATTGCCCCAGGGTCACACGGCTAGTAAATGTCAAGTGTCTGAGGCTGCATTTGAACTCAGGTCCTCCTGACTACAAGGCCGGAGCTCTATCCACCTCACCACCTAGCTGCCCCTATGTTGTCTGTTCTTGGCCTTGGCCTCCTCAAGATCATTCTCCTTTTCTTCCCTCCTCCCTCCCACGCCACCACCAGGACTTTGTCTTCTACGCCCCTCGTCTCCGCATTAACAAGCGCATCCTGGCGCTGTGCATGGGGAACCACGAGCTGTACATGCGGCGCCGCAAACCAGACACCATTGAGGTGCAGCAGATGAAGGCCCAGGCCCGGGAGGAGAAACACCAGAAGCAGATGGAGAGGCGAGTGCCAAGCTTTGGGGGTGGCGTGGGGCCTCGCACAAGGCGTGGGTGGGAGGAGCCCTTCCGTGAGGAAAGGAGGCCCAGGAACATGGGACCCATAGGAAGGAAGTCACTCGTCAAATGAGAAGCAGCATAAAATATTGATTAAAGCACCTACTCGGTGCCGGTCCCTTATGTTCTCATGAGGGAGATGCCATGGAATGAAGAATGGCTGGGGGAAAGAGAGGGGGTCTGGGAAGACTCCCGATGGGTCAGTGGACACACAGGTAGCCCACTGGTGGCACAGGCGTGATCCCAGTTCTGTGAGCAAGGCCCGGAAAGGACTTGAACCTGTTTGGAGGGTGGAAAGTGGTCACTTAGCCACATGTAATTTGGGGTGTTTAGAATGCACAGGGTGGGGGGGAGCACCGTAGTGCACAGAGGGCTTGAAATCAGGAAGCTCAAGTCACTTCACTCACTTTATGAGGCACTGTGTGCCTCAGTTTTCCCCAGCTATACAATGGGGATAATAATGGTACCTACCTCCCAGGATTGTTGTGAGGATCAAATAAGATAATGATTATAAAGCGCTTTGCAGACCTTAAAGTGCTAGAGAAATATCACCATTATCATCATCATTATTATTATTGCTGTTATCGCGCTATTATTACAAGCTGTGTTTATAACTGCCCACTAGATGGAACTCTGGAAAGCCTGCAGTTTCCCCTGGTTCCTAGCACATAGTAGGTGCTTAATGAAGGCTGTCAAGAGGCTGACTAGCCAAGGTCTCCCTGGCTTGAAGCCCAGATACACAGGAAATAGCAGAGGCGGGCTTTGAACTCTATCTTAGGAACATAGATTGAGATGGAAAGGACCTCAGTCATCATTAGCCCATTTCCCAGGCCCCCACCATCCTGAAAGAAGATCAGTGAAATCAAACCATTCCACTCCTGTAGTCCCTCACCCCTCAACTGAAAGGAAGTAAATGTGGCTGCTGTGGGCACAATCCCTTGTGATTTTTTCCCCCCTAATCTTTAGCCTCTCCTTGTCCACACTGGCCCCTTCTGTGTTGCCAACCTTAAATCTTCCCTTGACCCTGCCATCAGGGGCTCTTCAAGCCATCATCCCTTTGTGCCGTCACCCTCCTAGAAGAAGCTGCTGGGGGCCGTTGTCCACAGCCCCCTCCCTTCTTGGTCCCCTAGACAGGGCTGGGGAACCTGTGGTCTCAAGGCTGTGTGCGGCCTTTTAGGTCCTCAGGTTCGGCCTTTTGACTGAGTCCAGGTTTTACAGAACAAATGTTTTTATTAAAGGGATTTGTTCTGTGAAGTTTGGATTCAGTCAAAGGGCTGCACTTGAGGACCTAGAGGGCTACATGTAGCCTCAAGACGAAGGTTCCCCACCCCTGCCTTAGAATCTGGCTTCCGATGCCACCACTCAGCTGAGACTGACACGTAGTAGGTCCTTCATTGAATTGAATAAGACAAAAACAAGGTCTAGGGAGAAATGACTTTCCCAAGGTCACACCATGACCTCTGCAGATGTAGGAGAACAACCCTGCTCCACTGTGTGCGTTCCGCCAGTGGGCCTGGGGTGATGAATGCCTCAGTTATGCTCCAAGATTGAGTGGGAGGCAGGGAGGAGGGCTGAGGGAGAGCTGGGCTTGGAATGGGTTCCTTCCTCATCTCTGCCTTTTAGAATCCCTTCTTCAGGGCTCAACCTTGGGTCTGGGGAGGCTTCCCTGGAATCACAGGATCTGATTTCAAGTCTTGTCTCTCCTATTACCTCTGTGACCATGGGGAAAATCATTTTACTTATGTGGGCCTCAGTTTACTGAACTCTAAAATGAGGTCAGCCTAGCTGGCCTCTGGGGTTCTTTCCGGCCCTAGATCTAGATGCCTGTTGAGACGTTGGACAAGTCACTTCCCCTCCCTGGGCCTGTTTACTCTTCTGTCAGATGAAGGAGTAGGTCTACTTGGTCTCTGATCAATATGCAGGTGCACACACATACACATTCACACACGCACATAACACTCATGTGTTCACACACATGCACATACACACCCTCACACACAGACTCACACTCTCACACCCTCCCTTATAGCTCACACACACCCTCACACACACCCTCACACACACGCTTACACCCTCACTTACACGTTCACACCCTCACATACACGCTCATGCACACACCCCCTCACATACATACACACAAACCCTAGATCTAGGAGCCTACGATCTCAGCTGGAAATTGGGGAAATCTTTTCTCAAATTTCCCTGAAGTGTTTGGTCTGCACTCGCCCTGGCCCGCCTCACACTCTGCCTTGCCTTATGCTTATTTGGGAGAAAATATTCCTTGTGACCTCTGGCTCTTCCCCCTTGCCCCCTGCCTTCCCCACAGCTAAGCACAGTCACTGTTTAATAGATGTTTGTTGAGCTGGATTGAAAGGACTCCCCAGCCAGGAGCTCCTGGCTGGAGCCAGGGACGTGGTGCCTGCCATGTTGGGGGCCCAGCTTCTTCTTAGTGGAGCTAAGTGTTGCTAAGTGCTTGCTGTTTCCCATTCTGTTCCCCTGCCTTCCCCCTGCCCCTCCAGGGCCCTCCTGGAGAATGAAAAGAAGAAGCGAGAGCTGGCTGAGAAGGAGAAGGAAAAGATCGAGAGGGAGAAGGAGGAGCTGATGGAGAAACTGAGGCAGATTGAGGAACAGACCAAGAAAGCTCAGCTAGGTATCTAATGGCCTTGTGGAGGGGGGGGGAAGGCCAAGGGATGATAGAGCCCCTGAGGCTATGGGGTGTGGGACTCATTGCCTCATTGGAGGAGCCAGCTGGGGCCCTTGTCCATTATGCCACTGTGATTGAGTCTCTTCAGGGATCCCTCCTGGGGAGGGGCTTGAAGGAGGGTGGGGGGTAGGTGATGGTGTGGAAAGGCTGAGAAAACTCCCAATGAGGAGAATGGGCTACATCCTCAGGTAGTGAGCTCCCTGCCACTGCCTTCAAGCAGGAGGCCCTTGAGAAGAGGCTGGCTGACCCCTCCTTGTTGGGGGAAATCAGCGTGCTTGGTCAGGTATGATTGGGTTCCTGCCAACTCGGAGAGTTTGGGGCTCCAGAAATGGGCGCAGCCACGTGTAGAGGGTGGCGGGGGGGTTGGGGGAGGGATGTCCTTTGCCTCATCCTCTGCCTTCTTCCATCCAGAACTGGAAGAGCAGACTCGGAAAGCTCTGGAGCTGGAAGAGGAGCGGAAGCGAGCCCAGGATGAGGCTGAAAAGCTGGCCAAGGAGCGTCAGGAGGCTGAGGAGGCCAAAGAGGCCCTGCTCCGGGCCTCTCGGGACCAAAAGAAGACCCAGGAGCAGCTGGTAAGGTCACCCAGCATGCTCACTGGGGGGGGTGTACATGAGTGTGAGTATAGATATCTGTGTGTGAGCATGTATGTGTGAGTGTGTGCACGCATGTGAGTTTATGTGTGTATGAATGTGGATGTCTGTAGGAGTGTGTGTGTATGTGTATGTATATGTGAATGTGTGTGAGCATGTATGTGTGTGTGTATAACTACGGATGTCCGTGTGTATGTGTATGAAGAGGGGTGTGTGTGTGTGTGTGTGTGTGTATATGTATGAATGTGCATGTGCATGAGTGGATGTCCACGTGTGTGAGAGTGTGTGTTTATGAGTGTGTATAAATGTGAGGGGGTATGTGTGAGCATGTATGTGAGGGTGCATGAGTGTGTGAGCACATAGTAGTATTATGTGCATGTGTGTGTGTGAGCATGTGTGTGTGAGCGTGTATGTGCACCCACATGTGGGCTGGTATACACAGTGAAGGACAGAACTTTGTCCCTGTGGGTAAGGCAGGGTGTCCATAGCTAGGCCAGATTGCAGCACCTCTCAGACACAGTGAGCAACAGCTGCAAGGGGGGAGGGGGGCCCTGACTCCATCGTCTCCAGGTGGAGGTCTCAGGGGGCAGGGCAGGGCAGGGCAGGGCACAGCAGGCATGTGAGACAGTAGCAGTGAGCTTCCCCAGGTGAGAGGCCCAGCAGCTTGCTCTCACTGCCTTTGAAGTCAGAGGATCTGGCCAAAATCTCATCTCCACTGCTTAAGGCCTGTGTGACCCTCAGCATGTTACTTAACATGCCCAAGCTTGGTGAGGGGCCTAGGCTGTAAGCTAGTGTCCAGCTCCACATACAGGGTCTGTAGGATAGAAGGAAGAGGTTTTCGTGTGATCAGTGAAGGTCAGATCTCTGTGGAGTGCCCCTGGAGTGCCCAGGCCTATGCCAGACTCTGCTAGTCTCAAGGATGCAAAAATCTGAAAGCTTAGACCACAGTTTGTGTGGAAGTCTTGGGCTGAGTAAGTCAACAGCGTGACGTGGCCACCAAAAAGCCCCGCCCACTCTTGGGCCACATTCGAACAGGGAGGTGAGAGTGAGTGGCTCAGAGATTCTGTGACCAGAGGGTCAGCTTGGCAGGACTATGGTGTGGCAGAGGGACCTCGTGAGGGCAGTAGGGCTTGGACTAGATTCCTCTGAAGTCCCCCTGAACTTGGCATCTAGGGGAACAGACTGTGGGGGGCCTTGGGCACCAGACCCAAGAGTATGGGTTATACACAAACATCAAGGCAAGGAGGAGACTGAGTTGGGAGTTTAGCCCAGTTGCTTTTGGGGCCTTCCAGTGGCTTGGCTGTCCTTATTCTCCTTGGGTCCCTTCCAGTGTTTAACCCAGTGCCTGGTGCATAGCAGGTGCTTAATAAATTGATTGATTCTGGAGAGGCAAAGAGGAGCAGCAGTCCAGTACCTGTCCTGGGAAAGCTGGGGCGGGATAGCCCCAGATCTTTGTGCTGGGAGTGAGTGGGAAGGCCAGAGCCGTCAGGCTCATGGTAGGCCCTGGCCACCTCCCTCTGCAGGCCTCTGAGATGGCAGAGCTGACAGCCCGCATCAGCCAGTTGGAGATGGCCCGGCAGAAGAAGGAGAGTGAGGCTGTGGAGTGGCAGCAGAAGGTGAGGCGGGAACCACCACTGGGTGGGGTGGGAGTGGGGGAGCCCCAGCTGGTAGGGCTGGCAGGGGGGTGGCCCAATCTCCATAAAATGGGTCAGGACGTGGACTCGATTTTGGAGCTTGGCCTCTGAGGCTGAATACCCCTAGCCTCCACAGCTCTAATGGGGGGGACATATCCTGGCTCTGGCCTCTTTCCTCGCCACATGCCCCCTGAGTAAGGCATGCGATGTCTTTGAATGTCAGCTTCCTCCTTCTTATAAGGGGAATGTTACTGCAAGGCACCTCTCTCCCTCAAGTTCTAAAGTCTCAGATAAATGGAATTGATTTCCACTTGGGGCCTTCTGCCTCGTGGTCTTCCTTTAGGTTCTAGTGCATGGTCAGATCCCTGCTGGCCACATATCAACTTAGAAAACTACAAATGGGGGTGGCGCAATAGAGACAGCACCAGCCCTGAAGTCAGGAGGACCTGAGTTCAAATCTGGCCTCAGATTCTTGACACTTAGTAGCTGTGTGACCCTGGGCAAGTCACTTAACCCCAAATGCCTCACAAAAAAAAAAGGAAGAAGAAAACTGCAAATGAACATTATCTATGTCATGTTGTATCTTGCTTTCTTTTGTTAAACATTTACCAATGATGTTTTCCTTGGGAGTTTTGCTGGCCTGGAATTGACACCTATTCTCTAGTGGATAGAGAGTCTGCCTTGGTGCCAGCAAGCCCTGGGTTCAGATCTTGCCTATGACACCTACTGGTTGTGTGACCCTGGGCAAATCCCAGTGCTCTGGGTAGAGAAGGTGCCAACTTGCACTGATTCACCTGGCAGTTGAAATCCCAGGTCCAGTCTCCTCCTCCTGGTCCTTTCCCTGGCTGACATTGGCATGCCTTACCACACAGGCCCAAATGGTCCAGGAGGATCTGGAGAAGACCCGGGCTGAGCTGAAGAATGCCATGAGCACCCCCCATGAGAATGAGCAAGACGATGAGCAGGATGAGAACGCGGCTGAAGCTAGTGCTGAGCTGCGGGCTGAAGCCTCCACCAAGGACCGCAGTGAGGAAGAGCGGACCACTGAGGCCGAGAAGAACGAGCGGGTCCAGAAACACCTGAAGGTAGCTGGGGGAGAGAGGGGGGTGGCCACGGGCTCAGTGAGCTCACCCTCCCTGCCCGACAGTGCCAACCTGCATGCCCTCTGGGTGCAGGGCCCCACTCAGAGTCAGGCATGTGGGCAGAAGATGGGGGAGTCTGCAGGTAGAAGAAGGTGGGGAGCAGGTTGCCAAAGGGAGAGGTCAGGAGGAGCAAGCGATGAGCTCAGGTCACTGAGTTGTTAATGAGTGTGATAATAGTAGAGAGAGTGCTGAGCTTGGAGGCAGAGAGATCTGGGTTCAAATTCCACCTCAAAGACACTTCTTAGCCATGTGACCCTGGGCAAGTTACTCTGGGCCTCAAGTTTCCTCATCTGTAAAATGGGGGAGGTGAGATTGGTGACCTCTGAGGCCCCTTCCAACTGTAGGTCTGTAATCCTTGTCAAAGGAGTCCTGTGACCTCCTGCATGCAGCCTGGTTGCTATTTCCTTTCCTTGAATGGAATTCGGAGAGTTTGAACCCAAAGATTTCTTAAGTATCTGCTGCGTCCAGGGCCCTGTGCTTGGGCATACAGATACAGAGCTCAGGATCTAATTGAGGGGTGGAAAGGGGGAGTGCATTCACTTTAAGAACTGTTCCAAGGAAGAGGAAGGTTATTTTCAGCAAACATTAGTGAATGTTGCCGTTATAGAACATCATTCTGGGTGTTGGAGGAGGTTAAGTGTAGATGAGTCAAGGCCCCTGCCCTCATGGAGGTTCCATTCTAGTTGGGGGGAGAAGGTGCTAACTCAGCTAGCTAGATGTGCGACATTACATGGGAAGCACCATTGCCAAGGGGCAGAACAGATGTCTGGGAGAAGGGCTCTGGGAAATTGGAGGCAGGACGGGAATCATGGCTTCTGAGAAGGGGTAACCACCACATAGGGCCCGGAAAGAAGGGAAGGAAGGATAGAGTCGATTCTCGAAAGCAGAAATGGAGGGTGCATGCTGGGTGGACTATGGGTAAAGGCACAGAGATGATGGCAGTGGGTAGCAGGGGTGGGGAGGACCAGGAGAGAGAAGTGTTCCATCCCCTCCCCTTCTGTCAGGAAGTTCGGTCGAATCCTAAGCCCTCCTGTGGCTCTGAGGCCGTTCTTTCTGTCCTCTCCTGGAGGTGAGCAGCAGCGCCCCATCTTTTAAGTGACCTGGATTCGAGTTCCGGCTTCGACACTTACTATCTGAGTGACCTAGGCAAGTCACCACTTTTCTGAGCCTCAGTTTCCTCACTGGGAAATGTACAGGTTAATAGTTGTGCTGTCACCTGTTCAGGGATTGTCATGAGGGAAAGTTCTTTGTCAGTCAATACATGCTGTGTACATGTGAGTGGCCATCGTCATCATTACCAGGGCTCAGGCTGGGGCTCTCTCGTGCCAGTGTACTTAGAATGCCCTTTTGAACTTCTCCTCTGCTCTCCTTCCCTCCCTCCCCCACAACCTAGGCCCTGACCTCGGAGCTGGCCAATGCCCGGGATGAGACCAAGAAGACAGCCAACGACATGATTCACGCAGAGAACATGCGTCTGGGGCGTGACAAGTATAAGACCCTGCGTCAGATCCGCCAGGGTAACACCAAGCAGCGAATTGATGAATTTGAGTCCATGTAATCCTCTGGTCCCCGTCCCCCGCTCCCAGCCATCTCTGACCTCTCCCACCCCTGCCTTTGCCCTTTCTGAACCAACCAGCCGGGCCCTCCAGGGACCCCAGAGCACCCTCCTCCCTCCACAGGAGAGGGGGAGGGAGAGAAATTCGAACCCCTTCCTTCCCTCTCCCTTGCCCTCAGCTGCCAGCTTAGGCCAGGCCCTGACTGTCCTTGTCCCCTATGGTTCACTGCTGGCCTTGCCCCTTTCCCCTTCCTCCCAGAGAGCCCCAGCCACAGGGCATGGTGTCTAGGCACATGTGGGTCTTCTCCAAGTTTCTGTGGCTCAGTGCAGGGCAGGAGGAGAGGATTATAGGGGAAGAGAAAAGGAACTTAGTCCAAAGACCAGAGAGAGACATTTCCCAAGCCTGCTGTACCCCAAACCTTTCAGGCCACCAGGAGAGGAGAAAAGCATCCTGGGTGGGGAGAGAAATCAAGGCCATTCCTGATTTCCCTTCCCAGACCCTGGCCCAGTTAGTTGGGTTTAGCAACTCAGCACCCCGGGGGGGGGGGGAAGAGAGCGAGGGAGGGAGGAAGGAAGATCCAAGCAAGACACCAAAAAACATTTTAAGTCTTGGCCGCCCGACGCCCCCAAGCAAAACAGTGCCTTATAGGAGCTGTTTGGGTGCCTTATGGGGGCTGTTGAGGAGGCCTTCTGAATGGCCACCTGTGCCTTGGGGGCTGTCCCTTCTTCTCCCCTACCTGGGCCAGCCCCTCCCACCCCCCTTCCCTAGCAAGGCTGAACAGAAAGCCCAGGGGAGTAGCCCACAGCTCCCTGTCCTGGGGAAGGGGCCACCCAGCTCTCTCCTGGGTTTGTGGCATCCACCATATCCTAAAGGCTTGAGCAGACAAGGGGCTCCCACCAACCAGTCCCTCCTTCCCTCCATGGGGAGATTGCCCAAGGTGTGTGTGAGAGGGGGTTAATTGAATGTTACCACTCCACACCACAGATGCTCCAGTCCCCCTAGACACATCTCTATGGTGTGTGTGGAAGGGATGGGACCATGCCTGCCACCAGTGAGCTCCCTGCAGACAGCCCCTCTCCTCTACCCCCCCAAACCCTGGAAGGGGGTGGTGCTAGGAGGGAGGCTGCCTCTCCTGGCCCCTCCCCTCCTACCTTACCCCTCCTCATCCCGCCCAGCATGCTGCTGAGCCATCTTTGCCAGGCTGGCTGGGGGTCACCAGGACCCTCCCATATGATGCCTGTATTATGTACCCTTCCCCTGCCCACCATCTAGTAAAACGGGGATTCCCTCCTTCCTCTTATTCTCATCCTGAAGCAGGGCTGTGTTTTGGCCTCCCATCCCTCCTGTACCTTGAAAGTGTATACTGTATTATAAGGAAGATATTTTGCAGGAAATTAATGTAAAACGCTTTCCGTATCAGTGATGACATCATCACATTAGGTCACGCTAGATTGTTTTATTATTATTATTATTTGTTCTGCAGCTTTTTTTTTTTCTGTTTCTGTCTTGGTTTCTCTGGGTTTGACAGGCCTGGCCTTCTCCCTCTTCCCTTCCCCAGTGGGCAATGGGATGGGGATTGGGGGGTGGTCCACAGCTGCCATCTGCCTTCCTTCCAAAGTCTCATGTTTTGCTGTAAAATATAACAGCCCTCTTGCTGGCCCAGGCTTCTAGCGGTTAACTTGATGTTGTATCCCTGAAGGCAAGAGTTGGGGGCAGTAATTCACCCCATGGGAGGCTGGGGCAGAAGGCTAGACTTTGTGCGTGCGTCTTATGTGTAATTTTTTTTTTGGTTATTTGTCTGGAGGGTTTTATTCTAAATTCACATCATGTTCAGTTTCAGTGCCAATAAAATTGAAACTACCCCCACCCTTTGACTTGGTTTCAGTTATTCAAGGAACATTTATTCGATGCCTACTGTGGGAGGGAGGGCCCTGGCTGGCCCGAAAGCTTGGGGGTGGCAGCGGCGAAAGGTAGGGGTTGGGATGTCACCTATGTTATTTTGTGACCTGAGTCACAAAATGTGGCCTCAGCCACTAGCTATGTGACCCTGGGCAAGTCACTTAGCCTCTGCCTCTAGAGAAGGAAATGGCAAAGCACTCCAATGCCCTTTCCAGGGAAACCCCATGGACAGTATTGGCGTGTTAGGGACATGCTGAACATTTTGTGCCAGAGTACTTGATTTAAAAAAAAAATGTGTATGACCATCTATGTTTTCTCTTTGTCAGCCTTTCTTTTTAAATTTTCTTTTGGAATTCAGTTTTATTTTACTTCCAATTCTGAATTCTTTCCCTTTCACCTCTCCCTTCTCCCATTGAGAAAGCAAGAAACACAAAACCGGTTACAGGTATTTCTGGGCAGACAAAACAAATTCTCCCATTCGCCATGCCCCCAAACCCCACTTCATTCGGCACCTTGAGGCCATCAGCTCTCCAGCTGGAGGTGGGGAGCTCGTAGCTCCTTTGCTCACGAGTCCTCTGGAATTATGGTTAGTTCCACTGTGGTGGTCAGAGTTGGTAAGTCTTTCACAGTCCTTTATCCTTCACGTTAATTGTTGTCTTGATTCTGCTTTCTTCCCTCTGCATCAGTTCATACAAGTCTTTCTAGGTTTCTCAGAAGCCATCTTCATCATTTTTTACAGTACACTTAGAGTCCACTACCTTTATATGCCGTAACTTATTCAACCATTGCCCAGTTTTTTGCCGCTACAAGAAAGTGCTGCTTTAAATCATTGCCTTCATTTCCAGCTATGCTCCGTCTTCCCCTACCCAGCGAACCATCCCTGGTAACAAACAAGAAAAAAGAAGGGATGGGAGAAGTAATTCAGAAAAATCATGCCATGTTCTACACCAGTAGTCCACCACCTTTGCAAAGAATGGAGGAAGCTATATTTTCTCAACTCTACTTCAGGGCCAAGCTTGGACGGTATCATTGAATAGGACAGAGATAAGGACCGGTCCTGTCCTGGTCCTTGAATTAAGTGTATAGGGAACTCCCAGGTAAGGAAACTCCATTGACCAATGCAAATTGGCCCCTTCTCTAAAACTTATATAGGATGTCCCCAAAAATCAGTGTAATTTTAAAAGCTGTTGAAGAGAGTTGCCCAGGGACGTGGCCATCTGTGGCTGTGGTGGGATTTGAGTCTAGCACGGGGTGGGGAACCTGCGGCCTCCATGCCACATAGGTCCTCAAGTGCGGCCCTTTGACTGAATCCAAACTTCATAAATGAATGAAGTTTGGATTCAGTCAGAGGGCCACACTCGAGGGCCATATGTGGCCTAGAGGCCATAGGTGCTGTCCCTCTGGCTATAAATCTTAAAGACTTGTTTTTGCATCGCTGTCTTTTCTGGATACATGCCCTTCTGTCCCAGAATTGAAGACGTAAAAATGGTTCAGCAAAACCAACCAAGACAGTAACCTGGTCTGACTGTGCAAGTAGTAATAACTTAGTTCGTACCTGCAAGGCACCTTGGGAACCTTAGTGGCATAGCTCCTGTTACGATGAGGATTCTCTCATCATTGTCCCCTGCTCCTCTGCCAGAGGTTGGAGCTCTCCTGAGGTAGTTTCACAACTAACTAGATGAAATCCCAGGGAAAGGTCCCTGACTGGGGAAGAGCATTCAGCAGCAAATGGCATCCACGTTTGGGCTTTGAAGGATGGTCAAGGAGAGAGGAGGGCATTATTGGCATCGGGAGTGGGGTGAGCCAAATGCCTGGAGGTGGGAAAGTGAAGACTGTCCAGTAGACAGTCATTCGGTTGTGTATGGAGCAGAGTGAGTGGCACACGCATTTGGGAAGGTCCATCATGAGATGTCTCACTAGCACCAACCTGGTTGGCAGAGGGCTAGGGGGTTTCCTGGACATTCCTGAAGAGTTCCTCCGGACCAGCTCAGACCCCTCCCTGGGTCTGTTCCCCATCCATCTTGCTTCATGTGCCCTGGACAACCTGTGGTTTGGGAAGCCTCTCAGCTCCCACAGTCCTCTCTGGTTACTGCCTATGAGTTACCAAAGATTCTGTCTTTCTTTGCCTTTACCCCACCAGTGTTCCTTGGAAGTCAGACCAGGGCTCCTCTTCTCCATCACTCCCCTCCTGTGCCCCCACCTCCCATGTTAGGTGAGTCTCTAAGCTCTGATCTGGCCTCTTTCCTCAGGGTGCCAAAGCACCCATCAGATGAACATACCAAGAAGCCACAATTACCCGTGACAGGCAGCGTGGTATTGTGGAAAGGGTGCTGGTTTGGAATTGGGCACAGACAGATGCTGGTCACCCCCTGTCAGAATCATCTCCAGCACAATGGCTGGAGAGGCAAAGGGTCTTGGATTAGATGTCAAGAGAGCTGCTCTTGAGCCCCACCTCTGCCCCATTCAGCTGTGACCTTGAGTAAATCCTGTCTTCTGGGCCTCAGTTTCCTTCCTGTGCAGTGAGGGCATCAGACTAGCTCTCAAAAGGTCCCTTCTTGCCATAACATTCCAGGACTCAAGTAAACTCCAAGGAGACTGGGTCAAGCAGAGCTGCTGGCCCCACCCTCAAAGTGCCCCCAGTCTGGGGAAGAAGCAGATGGACAAAACCACCCCAAGCCCAGATGGAGAACTTGGTGGTGGGGAGGGGGAGTGGTCAGCTAAACAAGTATCTCCGGGCATCTCTGCCGAGCCTAGGTGGGCTCTGGAAAAGTGGGCCTCTTCTGCCCCCTAGTGGACGGTCTAGATTAGTGTGTCAGCAGGGAAAGTCCCTAGCAAGGTAGCTGGCTGGATTCCTAGGGCCCACCCAGGTCTTAGTGTTTTCCGGCCCCTGGAAGCAAAACATCTGAGTTTGTGTCGTGAGCTCAGGAGCAATTCTCTTTAATCAGCAGTATGATGTAGTGGAGATGGCACTCATCTTGAAGTCAGGAGGGTTTAAAGGATGGGGAAGGAGAGCAGAGGGCATTTAAGTCATTGGGAACAGGGTAAGCCAAATGCCTGGAGACCTGGATTCAAATTCTACCTCGGATGCTTCTTAGCTGTATGACCTTGGATAAGTCCCTTCACTGGGCCTGAGTTTCCTGCTTTGTAAAATGAGGGGATTGGACGCGATGGCCTCTGAGAACCCTAAATCTCTAAGTCTATTATCCTCTCATCTGGATTTCCAATCTGAACGGTGCCTGTCAATGACGTGGGATCCATTTTGGGTCCTAACATTCCTCATTCAGGGCTCAGGACATCTAAATAATGCCTCAACAATTGCCCTGATCCCCAGCTATGCCCGACTTCAGGCATATACTATGGGGGAGTTCTCAGGGGTCTCAAAGCCAGAGCTCCTGTCTCTGAGTCCACTGTTCTGTCCATTAGACCACAGCAACCTCTCAGTAACAAGAGGCTATTGCTACTCCTCCAAAAGCCAAGGATGGTGGATAGAGCTCCAGCCTTGGAGTCAGAAAGACCTGAGTTCAAATCCAGCCTCAGACACTTGAAACTTACTAGCTGTGTGACCCTGGGTAAGTCACTTAACCCTGGTTTGCCTCACCAAAAAAAAAAAAAAGAAGCCAAGGATGCTCCCCCCAAAAAACTGATGCGAATCAAACCACATCTTGTTCCAGATGAGGGCAACCATGATGGTGAAGGAAGTTCATGCTATATAAGGGCTGGTTGGAGGAACTGGAAGTGACTTGGGTGGGTGGGTGGGGACTTAGATGACAGTCTTCAAATACTTGAAGGACTGTCACAGGGAAGAGGTATTACACTTGTCCCATTTGGCTCTAGGAAGAAGAACCAGGGTACGGAGAGGCAGATAAAGGCTTGATGTAAAGAAAAAAAACAATCATAGTTGTCTGAAAATGGACTCTGGGCAGCTAGGTGGTCCTGCAGTGGATTGAGTGCTAGGCCTGGAGTTAGGAAGACTCTTCCTGAGTTCAAATCCAGCCTCAGACACTTATTAGTTGTGTGACCCTGGGCAAGTCATTTAACCCTGTTTGCCTCAATTTCCCCATCTGTAAAATGAGCTGGAGAAGGAAATGGCAAACCACTCCAGTATCTCTGCCAAGAAAACCCCAAATGGGGTCATGGAGAGTGAGACATGTCTGAAAAACTAAACAACAGTAACAAAAATGGACTGAGTAGCTTTGCTAGATAATGAGTTCCCCTTCATTAGATGTATACAAGCAGAGTGGGGGCTACTGAAAAGAGCAGATAGGGTTTGTCACTGATGTCACTTCTAGCTCTCCGATTCCGGGTTTTTGTCACATAGAGATTAATGACCTCCTTCCTGACCAGCCTTAAGTATAAACAATTTCAGCATTAAATAGAAATATGAAATATAAATATCTTCAGCATTAAAAATGAATATAGAAAATATAAATATTTCAGCATTAAATAGAAATACATAAAATATAAATGTTTCAGTATTAAATAGAAATAGAAAATATAAATATTTCAGCATTAAATATAATTATATAAAATACATTTTCAGCATTGAATAGAAATATAAAATATAAATATACAAAATATAAATATTTCAGCATTACATAGAAATATATGAACTATAAATATTTTCAGCATTAAACTCCTCAGTGTTGACTTCCCATGGGGAAAAGGGCTCCTTTAATCCATTCCCCAAATCTCCCCCCAGTAGCTCTTTGGGATGTCTGCTCAATAGGTAATAAATCTGCTTTCATCTTAAATCTTTCCCCTCCCACTGCTTCCATCTTGTGGCTCCCCTTCCTCCTCCCCGGCCTCCCTTTGCAGCACCGGCTGCAGTCTCGCTCCTTCCCCTGGCCAGGCAGGGGAGGTGGACTATTCCTTGCTCCCCTCTGCGACTTGAGCCTCTCCCTCTACGTCCATCACTCCGTGATCTCGCCCGCTCTGAGGTTCGCTCTGTCCATATCTATCATCCAATG